CGACCACGTCCACCACGACCACGTCCACAACCACCACGACCACCACGTCCACGACCACCACGACCACGTCCACATCCACGACCACCACGACCACGACCACACCACCAGACCACGTCCACGACCACGTCCACCACCACGACACCACGACCAGTCCACGACCACCACGACCACACCACGACCACCACACCACCACGACCACTCCACGACCACCACACCACAGCCACGACACGTCCACGACCACGTCCACCACGACCACGACCACCACGACCACCACGACCACCACGACCACGACACCACGACCACGACCACCACCAACCACCGAACCACCACGACCACCACGTCCACCACGTCCACACCACACCACGACCACCACGTCCACACACGCCACGACCACCACCACGACCACGTCCACCACCACCACGACCACCACGACCACCACCACGTCCACGACCACGTCCACCACGACCACGTCCACCACCACATCCACGACACCACACGACCACGACCACCACCACGACCACCACCACCACGACCACCACCACCACGTCCACGACCACCACCACGTCCACGACCACCACCACGACCAGTCCACGACCACCACGACCACCACCACCACCACACCACCACCACCACGTCCACCACCACGACCACCACGACCACCACGACCATCCACGACCACCACGACCACGTCCACGATCCACGACCACCACGACCACCACGACCACGACCACCACGACAGATTCAAATGTTCCACAGTACGGCTTTAAAGAGCATGAATTACACTGGCTCATGATCTGTGGACTGAACCAGGACTAAATGAGGATTGAAGAAGGACTAAACCAGGACTAAACCAGGACTAAAACAGCACTAAACCAGGACTAAACCAGGACTAAAACAGGACTAAAACAGGACTAAACCAGGACTAAACCACAGGACTAAACAGGACTAAACCAGGACTAAACCAGGACTAAACCAGGACTAAAACAGGAATAAAACAGGACTAAACCAGGACTAAAACAGGACTAGACTATGACTTAACCAGGGACTAAACCCAGGACTAAAACTGGACTAAATGAAGACTAATCCATGACTAAGCCAGGACTTAATCAGGTCTATGGAAACTAGAGCCCGACCGATATGGATTTTGTTGTGGCCGATATGAAACCGATATAATGATAGTTGGAGCTGCCGATATAATCGCCGATATATTTAGTGATGTAAAAATTCACTGTAAATCTTGAACTGATTAAAAAACTTAGGTTTGGCTCTAGTTGATTCTAAATTGGGTTTATTTAGGCAACATTTATTGTTATTTTGACTCTTTACATCATATTTACAGACAGTAGTTTGGCCTAATGGCATTTTTGCATCACATTCTAGCTACTAGTGATGGGGATTCCAGTTTTTTTTTTTTTTTTTTTGGAGAACCGGCTCTTTTGGCTCGGCTCACTAAAGCAGCTGGCTCTTTCGGCTCCCAAGCGACTCTTGAGATTGTTTTGTTGCAAACAGGACTAAACCAGAACTGAACCAGGACTGAGTGTCGGGACTCGGTTTCTATCTCTCTCCTGCACTCGGGCCCAAGATTTAGTCCTGGTTTATTCATTTTATGCTGAACTGCAGCCAAATATGCACTTTTTTTTTTATCCTATGCACACGCAGATTTCTGAAAGTTTCGTTTTCAGCCGCTGCTGCTGTCAAACTACGGGTCGACATGCGACATGAAGAGAAAAAGTGAGAAAAAAGAGAAAACACGGCTCCCGAATAAGAAACATGCTCCTGTTGTTCGCTTCAAAGATCGGATCTAAGAGCCGCTTCGATAACTCCTAGCTAGTAAACTACCGCTATTAGCCTTTAGCCGTAAATGCTGCGCACCGCGGTAATTAATTATATGCATAAATGTGGATCATTCACACGTCTATTCACAGCTCATTTACATATCAATACTGGTCCAGTAACAAATATACGGCCAATATAAACACTTTACAATAGACCAATAGAAAACAGCCTGTTTATGTGCGGGAGCTACAGCAGCTAACCGCTAACAAAACCTAAACTAGCTTCAAAGTCGATGTATTTCCAACACTCACCGCTCACACAGGCTCCTCCCACATCACACAGGCTCCTCCCACATCACAAGTCTGAACTAATAAATGTCCTTTTAATCCAGACTCAAACCGATTGTCCGAAAAAGAAAATAATCTCAGTGTTGCGCACGTCTGCGGGTGTAAACAAACACACGCGAGTGAAGTGACGTCACTCTGTGGTGTGTTCAGGGACAGTACGGACACAGACACAGACAAGTTACACCACAGATAAATACTGACGCAGAGCCACATATTAGGACATTTATCTGTCTGTAAATTGGATTAAATGAACAGAATGTAGAGAGTCTAAGCTTTATAACGAGGTATAACATGCCCACGTGAAATATCGGCTCATATCAGCAAGCATATCGGCCGATAGCCGATATGTCTCCAGGTGCCCATATTGGCCGATAATATCGGCCAGCCGATATATCGGTCGGGCTCTAATGGAAACACTAATTAGGACTAAGGCAGGACTAAACTAGGTCTAGACCAGGTCCAAACCAAGACTCAACTAAAACTGCAGCAGGATTAAGGACAATGATAAAATGACTAAACACGGACAAAAAACAGGACTAAGGTGAGACTAAACCAGGACTAAACCAGGACTAAACCAAATCCTAACCCTCATATATTGTTGGTTTGATCAACAACAAAAAATCTGACCTAAATTCCCGTCTACATTTGACTTTCCTCGAATTTGAGACGTCTTCAATTTCAAATCGAGCTGAAGAATAAAATTTTTAATGGTCATTGAAATTTCTGTTTGATTATGGTTCAGTCTGCAGCTTCACGAACGATTTAAAAACCTCCTTTCACCATTTGAAAAAAAATATAAAAATAAAACCAAATCAGGATTAAATTACAGAGAAAAAACAGGACTAAACCAACACTGAACCAGGACTGAACCAGGACTGAACCAAGACTGAACCAGACTGAACCAGGAATAAAACAGGAATAAAACTGTACTAGACCAGGACTAAATGAGGACTAAACCAGGACTAAACCAAGACTAAACCAAGACTAAACCAGGACTGAACCAGGACTGAACCAGGACTAAACCAGGACTAAACCAGACTAAACCAGGACTAAACCAGGACTGAAACAGGACTGAACCAGGACAACCAGGACTAAACCAGAATAAAACAGGATAAACTAACCAGGACTAAACCAGGACTAAACCAGAAACCAGGACTAAACCAGGACTAACCAGGACTAAACAGGACTAAACCAGGACTAAACCAGGACTAAGCAGGTCTCTGTGTTGGTGTCGTGTGTTGTGGAGAGTAAAGTGCTGTTGTCTTGTGTTTGCGCTGAGCTTTGAGGCTCTGTTTTTAGATCCTCTAATCAGCTGAAACAGACCAAGCAAAAGAACTAAACCAGGACTAAACCAGGACTAAACCAGGACTAGAACCAAACATGTTCTCATTTTTAATTTTAATTGATCTTAAATGGACACATATTTGCCAAATTCACTGCAAAATAATGTGAATTGTGCGTATGAATGGACTTTGCAATATTTTGGACTGTGCAATAATGAACTGCAGTATTTTCAAATGTGCAATAATGAGTGAGCAATAATTGAAACTGTGCAATATTTTAGTGTGTTTACATTTATGTTGTGTCATATTTATCCATTAACACGCTCAACTAAATAAATAAATAAATAAACTAAACCTGGACTAATACAGGACTAAACCAGGGCCAAACCAGGACTAAACCAGGACTAATCCAGAGACTAAACTAAAAGGACTAAACAGGGACTGAACCAGGACTAAACCAGGCTCAACTAAGAGTAAGCCACAAGGACTAAACCAGGACTAAAGCAGAGACTAAACTAAAAGGATTAAACAGGGTCTAAACCAGGTCTAAACCAGGTCTAAACCAGGACTAAACCAGGACTAAACCAGGACTGAACCAGGACTAAACGAGGGCTAAACCAGGACTAAACGAGGGCTAAAGCAGGACTAAAACAGGCACATCTAGGAGTAAACCACAAGGACTAAATGAGGACTAAACCAGGACTAATCCAGAGACTAAACCAAGACTAATCCAGAGACTAAACTAAAAGGACTAAACCAGGACTGAAACTAAACAGGACTAAACCAGGACTAAACCAGGACTAACCAGACCAGGACTAAATGAAAGGACTAAACAGGGACAACCAGGACTAAACCAGGACTAAACCAGGACTAAAAGACTAAAACAGGACAGGACTAAACCAGGACTAAACCAGGACTAAACCAGGACTAAACCAGGACTAATCCAGAGACTAAACTAAAAGGACTAAACAGGGACTAAACCAGGACTAAACCAGGACTAAACCAGACTAAACAGACTAAACCAGGATAAACCAGGACTAAACAGACTAAAGGAAAAGGACTAAACAACCAGAGACTAAAGGACTAAACCAGGACTAATCCAGAGACTAAACTAAAAGGATTAAACAGGGACTAAACCAGGACTGAATCAGGACTGAACCAGGACTGAACCAGGACTAAACCAGGACTAAACTAACCAGGACTAAACAGGACTGAACCAGGACTAAACCAGGACTGAGACCAGGACTAAACCAGGACTGAACCAGGACTGAACCAGGACTGAACCAGGACTAAACCAGGACTAAACCAGGACTAAACCAGGACTAAACCAGGACTGAACCAGGATTATTTAGCCCTGAACGACACTTAAACATTTTTGCTGTACATATTTTTACTGGACACTTTATATATATATTAATTCCCTGGTCTTTATAATAAAACAGTCCGGTCGTGTTTATTTCAGCCTCAGTCTCAGATGGACGAGACTCGCGGGTGTAAATCTGTCCTTTTGGCTTCGCTCGATCGATCTGTTTTCTATTGATAAACCCACGGCGGCCGCGCTTCCTCTTCTCATTCTGCTTTTGTTTATTCGCAGGTCATTTACGCGCTGAACACCAAGAACGACGAGCACGAGGAGGAGATCGAGTCGCTCAAAGAAGCTCACGAAGACGAGGTACCAAATATTCATGTCAAAACGTCGCAAAATATTACAGTATCGTGACAAAGTTCAGCACAAAAAAATATGGAACTTTTTTATTATTTTTATTATTCTACTTTTTTGAGATGGACGAGTTTATGGATCTACACAAGCAGAAGTTTTATGAGTTTAATTTGCCTTTTTTTTTTTTTTTTTTTTTTTTTTTTACATGCAAGACCACCTTGTTTCCTCGTCTTTTTCTCTACATAAATAGTAGTTTTTGCATGAGCGCCCCCTGCAGGTGTCGTCCTGTGAGTGCAGATTTGTCCATTTCTAGTAAAAATAACAGTAGTTGTGGTAAAATCTTTTCTTAAAATATCATGATTTTAACTGTGTTTTGGTCAAGTGACTTGTACGGTGTTGCAAATCAGGTCATTTAAAATGTTCCACAATATGGCATTATTTATTGTTTTTACATTTTCTACCAACAACAAACACCTGCAAATACTATAATTTAAAAAAAAAGTTTTTTATTGAATTAATCTTGAAAAAACAGCATTTTCTTCACAATGAATAAGAACCAAGTCTAAGCCAGGACTAAACCTGAACTAAACCAGGTCTAAGCCAGGACTAAACCTGAACTAAACCAAGTCTAAGCCAGGACTAAACCTGAAAACCTCTAAAGAACTAAACCAGGTAAACCAGGTCTAAACTGCTAAAACCAGGTCTAAACCTGAACTAAACCTGAACTAAACCAGGACTAAACCTGAACTAAACAGGACTAAACCTGAACTAAACCAGGTCTAACCCAGGACTAAACCTGAACTAAACCAGGTCTAAGCCAGGACTAAACCTGAACTAAACCAGGTCTAGCCCAGGACTAAACTGAACTAAACCAGGTCTATTTTAGGACTAAACCCGGACAAAACCAGGTATAGCCCAGGACTAAACCCGATCTAAACCAGGTCTATTTATGACTAAACCCGTCCTAAACCAGGTCTAGCCCAGGACTAAACCCGGCCTAAACCAGGTCTATTTTAGGACTAAACTCGTTCTAAATCTGGTCTAGCCCACAACTAAACCCAGCTTAAACCAGGTCTAGTCCAGGACTAAACCTGACCTAAATCAAGTCTATTTTTAGGACTAAACCCGTCCTAAACCAAGTCTATTTTAGGATTAAGCCCTGATCTAAACCAGGTTTAGCCCAGGACTAAACCCAAACTAAAGCAGGTCTAGCCCAGGTCTGAACCCAAACTAAAGCAGGTCTAGCCCAGGTCTGAACCCAAACTAAAGCAGGTCTAGCCCAGGACTAAACCCAAACTAAACCAGGTCTAGCCCAGGACTAAACCCAAACTAAACCAGGTCTAGCCCAGGTCTAAACCCGACTTAAACCAGGTCTATTTTAGGTCTGAACCCGGCCTAAACCCGACCTTAATCAGGTCTAGCCCAGGACTAGATCTGGACAGACCTACTGTCCTACGGGCGACAATAGAACGTTTGTCCACTGATCTGAAGGTTGGTGGTTCGAATCCCTCCACAGACCCGCAGGCTGGAGGTGTGATTCCAGATCCCACAGATGAATGCTGTTGTTGTGTCCTTGGGCAAGATGCTTAACCCTTTTCGCCCCCAGTGTCCGTGTACACTGGTGTGTGATGTTCTAAACAGGTTCCTTGTTGTAAAGATACTTTGAGCCTTGAAGGTGGAGAAGTGCTGTATCAAAAATGTGATTATTTACCAATTACTGCTCAGACCTGGTTTGAGTCCTGGTCTGGTCTGGTCTGGTCTGGTCTGGTCTGGTCTTGTTGATCATTATGGAGTAAGAAGCTGTCAAAAATATTTGTGCGCGTAAAATAGAAATCCGTGCATATTTGTCTGTAGTTGCGCATAAAATAAATATTTGTAAACTCTTAAATGAGTCCAGTCGTACATAAAATATATTGTGTGTATTTTTATCCATCAGAATACGAATTGAAAAATTACGACGTCATGAATTACAATCACCAAATGAAAATTTACGATTACACTTTCATCAGTACGAATACGAATTCACAGACGGAACTTTACTGTCAAAAATACATCATCACTTCACAGACATTATTCATCGAGCAGAAGAAACATCGATCAAGATCAAGACTGAGCAGCTCAAGTTTGTATCAGAGTAAAAACAGAGTAAAAACAGAGTAAAAACAGAGTAAAAACAGAGTAAAAACAGAGTAAAAACAGAGTGGCTGTAGTCGTGAATGTTTTAATCTAAACATACAGAGAACCTGATATTTGTTAATTAGTCCCTGGGATAACGTTACGTCTGATGTTTCCAACTGGCTCCACTATGTTTTCTAACATTTAGGTGCAATTTCCCGTTCAGAGGAAGTGTTTCTACACAATATTATACAGCAGCGTTCGGTTCCCGAATTCAAGACATTTTTACAATAGATTTTAATGAACCCACTTGTTGTTCTGTTGTAGCTTCTTGTGCTTTTACTCTGTTTTTACTCTGTTTTTACTCTGTTTTTACTCTGATACAAACTTGAGCTGCACAGTCTTGATCTTGATCGATGTTTCTTCTGCTCGATGAATAATGTCTGTGAAGTGATGACGTATTTTTGACAGTAAAGTTCCGTCTGTGAATTCGTATTCGTACTGATGAAGCGTAATCGTAAATTTTCATTTCGGTGATTGTAATTCATGACGTCGTAATTTTTCAATTCGTATTCTGATGGATAAAATACACACAATATATTTTATGTACGACTGGACTCATTTGAGAGTTTACAAATATTTATTTTATGCGCAACTACAGCCAAATATGCACGGATTTCTATTTTACGCGCACGAATATTTTTGACAGCTTCTTACTCCATATGATCTCCTCTCCTTCTTGTGGAGTCCTAGTTTCTTCCTGGTCCAGCTTCTGAGCCTCTGCAGCTCAGAGGAACATCCAGAAGAACTCGCCTGGACTCTGGACTCAGTTAAACGAGCCCGAGCTTCGTACCTCCTCCTCAGGCGAGTTTTGTCCTTCCACAGTCGCTTTTTCCATCGCGAGTGGGATTTTAAACTCCTCCCACAGGTCAGGATCTTCTCCATCAGCTCCAAGGACACAGGACGGATCTTTGGTTTAGTCCTTCTACTTTAATTCTGAAATACACAGATTCTTGGATTAGTTCAGCAGCTCAGATTTCAACCAAAAGCTCCGATGTGAGTTATTAAAAGAACTGAAAAGCATTATTATAAATTCACCCGACAAAACTGCCCACGACACTGAGGCCGCAGCTCTTTCCGTCGCTCTACACACTGGATATTAAATATTACATGTGTCGCTCTGTCTGAAAATAGTCCCGTCCATAAGCGAGAGTGGAGTCGGAAAAAGCTCCGCGTAAAAGCCCGAGCCGCACTTCAACTTAAAATAACATTATTCCTCTGGCTTCAAACTGGATTTATACGAGCTGCACTTAAACGTCCCACAGTATCTGACGCCGAACGGAGATTTAAAACATGTTATAATACTGTTCCCTCCTCAAAAACAGAGCTCCAAACATCTCCAAACATCTAAATGCTCTGTTCCACCTCGTGATGTCATGAAGTTTTCAAGTGAACAGCTCCTTTTGCCTTTAGTTCAGTAGAGATCGTTTTTGGTTTGAAAGAAGAACTCAAGTCTAAATGTGCAGAGTTTGTGTGTTAAACATGTGTGGAACCGGTCTTGGTCTCGAGACCGCTTTTTTACCGTCTTTGTCTCGTCTCGGACTTGAGTATGTTTGGTCTTGGTCTTGTCCTCTGTCTTGTCTTGGTCTTGTCTCGGTCTTGATGCAGCTCGGTCTCGTCTTGTCTCGGTCTTGATCGCTTGGTCTCGGTCTTGTCTCGTCTTGATGGCGCCTGGTCTCGGTCTTGTCTCGGTCTTGTCTCGGTCTTGATGCTTGGTCGTCTTGTCTCGATCTTGTCTCTATCTTGTCTTTCTTGACGCGCCTGTTCTCGTCTTGTCTCGGTCTTGTCTCGTCTTCTTGTGTGGTCTTGGTCTCGGTCTTGTCTCTGTCTTGAGACGCTCTGGTCTTGTCTCGGTCTTGTCTCGGTCTCTCGGTCTTGTCCTCGGTCTTGTCTCGGTCTTGATGGCTCTTCTTGGTCTTGCTCGGTCTTGATGCGCTTGGTCTCGGTCTTGTCCTCGGTCTTGTCTCGGTCTTGTCTCGTCTTGATGTCTCGCTTGTCTCGTCTTGTCTCAGTCTTGATGCTTGGTCTCGGTCTTGTCTCGGTCTTGACGGCTCTCGTCTCTGTCTTGTCGATTGGTCTCAGTCTTGTCTCGGTTGTCTTGGTCTTGAAGGCACTCGGTCTCGGTCTCGTCTTGATGGCTCTGGTCTCGGTCTTGTCTTGGTCTTGATGGCGGTCTCAGTCTTGTCTCGGTCTTGTCTTTGATCGGTCTCGTCTTGTCTCAGTCTTGATCGCTTGGTCTTGGTCTTGTCTCAGTCTTGATGCTCTTGTCTCGTCTTGTCTCGGTCTTGACTTGGGGCTCGGTCTTGTCTCGGTCTTGTCTCGGTCTTGATGACGCTTGGTCTCGGCCTCTGTGATGCTCTTGGTCTCGGTCTTGTCTCGGTCTTGTCTCTGGCTCTTGGTCTCGGTCTTGTCTCGTCTTGTCTTGGTCTTGTCGGTCTTGTCTTGGTCTTGATCTTGATGGTCTTGTGTCTTGGTCTTGGTCTTGATGGCTCTTGGTCCGGTCTTGTCTCGGTCTTGTTTCAGGTCTTGATGCTCTTGGTCTTGGTCTCTCTTGGTCTCGGTCTTGTTGGTCTTGATGACGCTTGATCTCGGTGTCTCGTCTTGTCTCAGTTGTCTTGTCTCGTCTTGGTCCGGTCTCGGTCTTGTCTCGATCTCGGTCTTGGTCTCGTCTCTGTCTCTCGGCTTGCTTCTTGGTCTCATGGTCTCGGCTGATCGTGTCTCTTGTCTCTGTCTTGACGTTGGTGTCTTGCCTTGTCTTGTCTTGAAACTCGGTCTCGGTCTTGTCTCAGTCTTGATGCTCTTCTCGTCTTGTCTCGCTTGGTCTTCTTGTCTTGTCTCGGTCTTGTCTTCTTGATGACCTTGGTCTCAGTCTTGTCTCGGTCTTGATGACGGCTTGTCTCGGTCTTGTCTCGGTCTTGAACTCTTGGTCTTGAGTCTTGTCTCTTGTCTTGTCTCGTCTTGTCTCGGTTTGAACCTCGGTCTCGGTCTTGTCTCGGTCTTGATGGCTCTTGGTCTCGGTCTTGTCTTGGTCTTGATGGCGCTTGGTCTTCTTGGTCCTTGTCTCTCAGTCTCGGTCTCAGTCTTGATCGCTTGGTCTCGGTCTTGTCTCTCTGCTTTCTCGTCTTGTCTCAGTCTTGATGACGCTTGGTCTCGTCTTGTCTCAGTCTTGATGACGCTTGGTCTCGTCTTGTCTCAGGTCTTGGTCTCTCGGTCTTGATGGCTTGGTCTTCTTGGTCTTGTCTTGGTCTTGATCTCGGTCTTGGTCTTGGTCTTGTCTTGTCTCAGTCTTGATGACGCTTGGTCTCTGGTCTTTGGTCTTGTCTCGGTCTTGACGACGCTTGGTCTTGGTTCTTGTCTCGGTCTTGTCTTGGTCTTGTCGGCTTTGTCTCTCGGTCTTGATCTCTGGTCTTGGTCTTGGTCTCAGTCTTGATGACTCTTCGGTCTCGGTCTTGTCTCTCTCTCTGTCTCTCTTGTCTCGGTCTTGAGGTCTTGGTCTCGTCTTGGTCTCTTCTTGTCTCGGTCTGTCTCAGTCTTGATCTTGTCTTGCTTGGTCTTGGTCTCTTGGTCTCGGTCTTGATCTTGATGCTTCTTGTCTTGTCTCGGTCTTGTGTCTTGGTCTCTGGTCTCGGTCTCGGTCTTGTCTTGGTCTCGTCTCGGTCTTGAGGTCTGAGTGTGATCGTTTTTCATTCTGGCCAGTAAACATTTGCCAGGTTGGTTCCACCTAGTGCCTCTTCTTAATTTAATTTCTCTCCAGGAATCAGAAAACACTAAACAGTTCACAAAAACCCCGGAAGCTGTAGACGACGGACGACGCTACTCGCTTTTTTTCACAATTTTATTTTATACCAACCATTAAAACCCAGGTGAGTCCCAGTTTTTAACACTATTACTATGTTTTTTGTTTGTGTGTTTGTGTTGTTCAGGTGCAGCACATCGTGACGGAGACGCGGGATAAGATCATGCAGTACAAGAGTAAGATGGCGGACGAGGCGGACCTGAGGAGGAGGCTGGCCAGTCTGGAAGAGTCTGTGGAACTGCACGAGCACATGAAGAGACAGGTACAAACCGCACAACGTCCACTCAGCCGGAGAGGAAAAAAGTCAAACATTTAGTCCCAGAACTTCATTTCTATTTTGTAAAAGCAGCTCCTCGAAATCAGCGTCGTGGTAAAACTTCGCTCTGGTCTCAGAAAAGTGCTTCTAAAATCGTCTCTGTGAATAATTCGGTTAATATAAATATGTTTGGAAAGAGAGAAATAAGTTTGGACGACCACAAACTGTTTAAAACTGCTTTTTAAGGTGGTAAAAAGTAAAAGGTGAAGTGGTTGTAGCTGTTTATCTTTTGTCTAACTCTGGTGTTTCTTCAGATCAAAATAAGGCAGTTTTAAAGCGTTTTAATTATCGGAGAGTCAGGAAGTGCGCTGTTAGCATGCTCCATTCCATTGTATTCACCATCCTGTCTCTCTCATCTCTATAATTTGAATACTTTTATTGGTTTACATTGTGATTTTGTGAGGTCGGAGATCGGACCAAAACAAAGATGGAGATGCCGACTCGGGCTGAGAACAAAGAACGAGAATAGACCTTTTTCACAATGTCCGGAAATGCCGCAATGTCAAAATGTGCCTGTAAATGTGCGTCGTTTTCTCCAGCAGCTTCATAAATCTGCTAAAACTAGATCTTAACCAGGTCTAAACCAGGTCTAAACTAGATCTAAACCAGGTCTAAAACCAGGTCTAAAACAGGACTAAAACAGCACTAAAACCAGGTCTAAACTAGATCTAAACCAGGTCTAAACCAGGTCTAAAACCACTAAAACGGTCTAAACTAAACTAAACCAGGTCTAAACCAGGTCTAAACCAGGTCTAAACTTGATCTAAAACAGATCTAAAACCAGGATTTAACAGGACTAAATCCTGCCGTGTGGACGTGTTTCTTCTTCTTCTATCAATAATATTTTTAATTTGGTTCAGTAAAGTCTGGACTTTTTATTTTCTTTTATCAAACAAAACTTCTTATGTGAAAATTTCCTCGTCTTTGTTTCTCGACAGAAAATCAAGTAATCCAAAGTATTCAGATTACATTACTCACTTTAAGTCATTTAATGGATTACGTTACAAACTACATTCTGGTGTGTGTAATCTGTAATCTGTAGGGGATTACAGTTTAAAAGTCACCTTCCCAACCCTGCTTTGGTGCTGTGTTAACGTGCTGTGGTGTTCGTTCAGGCTCTGGCGGAGTTTGAGATGTACCGACAGCGGATGGAGGACTCCCAGCTCTGCACCGAGGCACAGCACACGCAGAGAGTCGTGTCTATGAGCAGAGAGGTGAGTGTGCGAGGACACGACAGCAATAATCACACGCCTCGGTTTCTGTTTGAGCTTCAGGCCGACTCTGGGTTCGACTCTGGGGCCTGAGCTTAACTTTTAGATTTAGGTCTAAAACAGGAGTCCAGATTTGTGTGGTTATTTATTTTTCATGCCATAATCCATGTTTTATCACACGACACAAACACGTGATTCATTTTGATCATTTTGTTTCATTAATTTAAGTTCTGTTTCTCCAGATACGGTAACGAAACTTTTCAAAGTATTAGAAAACAAATTAAAGCTGCTTAAGAAGAGAAATTGTGCTTTTTTTTGTGCCCAGAGTTTTTGACAGTACAGAGCAGTGGGCGGAGACAGGGGGGAGGTGAAAATGGCAAATGTCTGAAAACTGAAGCCAAACATGCTTGAATCAATCAAAATGTTGAAGCAAATGATGACAGAACACTGTTATAACCATAAACTGTACATACGCATAAGTGGACAGAGCTAATCTGATTAAATATTCCAAATACGGAATTTGGCTCCAAATTCTCTCATGTAACTACAGCCTCGATGAGCTTCATTTGACTGGAGCTGGAGGCTGTGGCAAGTGAACAGACGTCCCCACAGACTCGGGACAATCCCAGATTTGAGCCCCGAGTCCCAGGTGTCCCTATTTTGGACCAATTTGATCTGAACTAGGACTGAACTATGACTAAACCAGGACTGTATGAGGTCTATTTCAGGTCTATTTCAGGTCTAAATCAGGGCTAAACCCAGTCTAAACCTGGTCTAAACCTGGTCTAAACCAGGTCTGAATCAGGTCTAAACCTGGTCTAAACCAGGTCTAAACTAGGACTATCACAGGTCTATTTCTGGTCTAAACCAGGACTAAACCAGAGGAGCATAAATTTTATTTGTTTAGACAAAATCCATCAGACTGAGCTTGTGTATTTAGTCTCAGATTAAACACTGAATGGACAAAGCGACATGATTTTTTTCTGTTTTATTTTATTCCAACCGTCCCAACGGTTAAAATCTCACAGAAGTTGAGTTTACGTACGAGTCATTTGTCCTTTAGTTACCAGACGTGTGAGGATATTTCCAGACCTTGAAGCCTGTCGAGGCTCAGTGGCGTCTCTGCTGCTGCTTTCAGGTGGAGGAGATGCGTCGCGATTTCGAGGAGAAGCTTCGCTCGTTCAGCCAGGCCCAGGCGCAGTTCGAGGCCGACAAGAGGCGAGCGCTGGAGGATCTGAGGGCCACGCACAGACAGGAAGTGGAGGATCTCATCAACAAACACCAGGACCAGAGCGCCTCCTCCTCCGAAGACCAGGAGCGACTGGCCGAGCTGCACCGACAGGAGGTGGGACTCCACACCGACGCTGTTTTTACATCTACGCAGTTTATTTCCACGTACGATGGAATTACAAAATGAGACAGTGTTTTGTTCGTTTGTTTTTTTAAGCTGCACTGTGTAAGTTTTTTGGTGGAATGTTCCACTACCTGCTTTGACTTCATAGAAACATGACCTGGAAAGTACTTCAGTCGTCACGTTTACACGAGAGCTTTTTGCACGTCATCCTCTTTATTTCCCCATTTTAATTTCTGCTCAATAAAAACACACAGATTCTTTTTTCTGATTTGTTCTAATGTCGTTTCCTCGTCACAAACAGACCTGGAGTTGTGTTTTGTTTCATTCACACCCTGGTTTCGGTTCAGTTCGAGAACAAAATGTAAAACCATTTGTTTGTTTGTTTATTTGTGTTTTTATTAAACCGACAATTAGTTTTAACTTTATACAAATGGGAAAATAAATTAGTAATAGTAATAAGTTAAATTCTGTTACGGTGAACGTGAGGACAAGCCAGGCTGGTTCCAGGAATCAAAACACACAAGACGGTTTACAAAATGTAGGTTTACAAAGCGAGTTCGGGCACCAGCCAATCAACGAAGAGCCAGACATTCTGTGTTGACAACGATTCCCAAGATCGAGGATTTAAAGCCGGAACAAAGAGAATGTTTGGTGAATTTCATCCAGGGGAAAGACGTTATTGTCCTTCTTCCTACAGGATTTGGGAAAAGCTTCATGTACCAGTTGTCCCCGTTAGTGATGCTTTACAAACGTCACGACCAAACAGCAGCGACTGGTTAAATGATAAAAAGTACCCGCCTACTGTCGAGCGAACGAATCCTAACGCATGAGGGATGCAACGGCTGTAGTTTTGCAGGATTCTCGTGGTTCAGAGCGACGTAATCAAGTCAGGGGGCAGTTGTAGTGAAGGTGTCGCCCTAACTATAAAGCGCTGCGGGAAACACTGCACCAAACACGGACGAGTTCCTGGTGAATATTAAAGAGCCGAGCCTCCGTGTAGCTGCACATGTAGAGGACGAAATGTAAAACACACAAACTGCACCAAACCCAACGTCCTGTACTGAAACGCTTCGGCACAAATACATAATAAACGTTTATATCTTAAATTTTGTCCAAGCTTTTTCGCAGTGTACATGACATCACCAGGTTGAACAGAGCATTTCGAGCTTTGCAGATACAAACAGACTGAAAATAAACATGTGTGAATGAAACAAAACACAACTCCAGGTTTGTTTTTGAGGAGGGAACAACATTATAACACGACTTAAAGCTCACAAGAGTCAGTTTTGCGTCATGTAAAAGCTTTAAGCGGAAAACTGTAACACGTCCATGGAGAGACGAGCTGTAAACTTTGTTGTTTTTATTTCCAGGTGGATTCGTTGATGGAGCGAGTGGAGGAACTGTCCAAAGACAAAGTCCGTTTGGTGGAGGAGTACGAGGCTAAACTGGGCAAAGCTCAGGAGTACTACGAGAGGGAACTGGAGGCAATGAGACGGACGCACCAGCTCACCACAGAGAACCTGCTCGCCTGGAAGAGGACCGAGGTCAGTGACGCTCTGTAGTCGTCTGTATTTGTGAAGACCATCGTAGTTTTCAGCTGTATTGATTAAGTTAAGGTTTACTACTAATATTAAACCTTCATGAGGGACATTTAGTCCTTCAACCGGTGCTGCTGGAGAAACCTGTGAGGAGCAGTGAGACCCACATCCAGATCTTTAGTCACAGGCAAACAGTGTAAAAACTGATACTGACATATGATTGACAGGACACAGGGCTGTAACGGTACAAAACATCTGGCTAATTCTGGTACATTTACAGAAATGCTGATTAACGTACGCTGTCCCTGTTAAATAAACCAAATAAATAAATAAAAATCACAGTTCTGTACGTACCTCGGTTTTATTTATTTGTTTATTTATTTGAGACGGGGGCAGCGCACAGTTTTGACATTAACATTAACAGGAGAGATGTTTGTACATCAGGTTGTAGCGTCAGTGTTGACCTCCAGGAAGAACAGTTAATAGCCAAGGTCAGTTAAATACAATCAATCAATGAACCTGCCCAGAGACGACAGGTGAAAATGAACACTGCTGCTGGAAGAAACCAACAGTTTGTTTTAACTTTATACAAACGGGAAAAATAAAATAAAGTCAAAGTGCTGCTTGGTAAAACTAATAAGTGAAATAAAAAATATATATATAAACTTTTCAAAAAGTAAAGCGCAGCACGAACAGTTCCAGCATGAACTTTTAAGTCTTTATTTCTATAGCGCTTTTCACTGACACATGTCACAAAGACACTTTACAGAGAATTATAGATTCATTGTTCTTTCTCTCCACATCCAGTGATACTAAACTACTACAGTAGCTACAGCTGCCCTGGGGCAGACTGACGGAAGCGAGGCTGCCAATCTGCACCATCAGCTCCTCTGACCACCATCATCACTTAACGCACACACACCACTGTCATACTGGGCAATATGGGTGAAGTGTCTTGCCTAAGGACAAAACAACTGTTTTTTTTGTGACTGGCGCCTCCTGTGGCTCCTGATTTTCCCACCGTCTCCACCCAAGTACTGACCAGACCCGGAGATCTGACAGGATCAGGCTTTTACAAACTGGTTTGGCCACAAGATTTTACACAATCTTCAGATTTTTGGCCAGAAAAACAAACCGCTTGCATTAAAACTCAGGTGACAGGTATTGGTGGTGGTGGAGGGACACTGTGCCAGCGAAAGGCGAGCGTGAGTGAGTGAGTGAGTGAGTGAGTGAGTGAGTGAGGGCCGCGAGGATTCACGTGGGTCAGAGGGACGTGGTCAAGTCGGGGGACCAGGTGTTGTTGCGGTGGTCGCTCTAACTATAAAGCGCTGCGGGAAACACTGCCCCAAACATGGACAAAACACGGACAAGTTCCCTCGTAAATATTAAAGAGTCGAGCCTCGGTGTCGCTGCACATGTAGAGGATGAATATAAACACAAACAAACTGCACAAACTCACTCGTGCACAGACCTGCACCGAACCCAACGACCTGTACACAAACCGTTCAGCACAAAAACATGAACCATTACACCTCTGTTACATAAGGGTGACTTGTTGTACAGTTGTAGGGAGTATTATCTGTTACATGTAAGTGAGTTGTTGTACAGTTGTAGGGAGTATTATCTGTTACATAAGGGTGACTTGTTGTACAGTTGTAGGGAGTATTATCTGTTACATGTAAGTGAGTTGTTTGGAGTATGGTAAGATTGTAGTCGTGTGTCTCTCACTGAAAGCCGAGTGGCCAAACCGCACGAGCTCTCCAGTATTTATTAGTCGTAGAGTTGTAAGTTGCAGTTCCTGTCCAGTGATTTTAGTGTTAAACTTGAAAATGGAGCGTGGCCCGTCGTCTGTCCCGTCCGTTTGGACCTGTGCCCGTCTCTGTCCCGTCCGTTTGGACCCGTGCCCGTCTTCTGTCCCGTCCGTTTGGACCTGTGCCCGTCTTCTGTCCCGTCCGTTTGGACCCGTGCCCGGCTCCGTCCGCAGCTTATCTCCCTTTTACTACTCCAAAAATACACAGACACAGAGCGAGATTACACCAGCGCGGAGTTATGTAAGTGACAAAAGGTTGGCACTCGTCTCAGTAACGTTATGCAAAAAGTGAACAGAATCTGCTCCCTCAAGCACCACTTTCACACACTTTCACTCTCACACTCCTCTGAGCCGCTGCACCGTCAAGTGACTTTCTCCGCTCAGTGTGGAGGTTGTGGGTTAGACTCCTGACATCGTTACGTTCTAGAACAGAGCTACTCAACTAAAATCTGAGGAGGTCTGGTTAGAGAAAAGGTCCAGGACATAATAATGTTTAACTTGCATTAGGATTGTGATACAGAAGCAGCCTCGTTTTATCAGTGTCTGAGTGTGTGAACAACAGACTGTCACATGGTAAATGGTCACATTTTTCTATAGCTTTTCCACCTTCAAGGCTCAAAGTGCTTTACAACAAGGAACCACTCACACATTCACACACCAGTGCACACAGACACTGTGGGCAAGGTGGGTTAAGTGTCTTGCCCAAGGACACAACGACAGCATTCATCTGTGGGAGCTGGAATCACACCAGCAACCTGTGGGTCAGTGGATCTGATGCTCAACCTGAGATGTTTTATGTCGAGAACTGGAATCGAACCACCAACCTTCAGATCAGTGGGCGAATGCTCCACCAACTGAGCTCCTGCCGCCCAAATCAACGAAAACACAAGATACAAACATTTTAACAAAGTGTATTTTTAACTGTTAGTCGTGTTCTATCAAAAATGACTAGACTCAATCAATTTAAATGACAAACATTTATTCCCCTGACAATACAATTCTAATCCAGAGCTCTGATGCCTCCACTTACGCAGGTCTGACCCCTGCCTTTCCCTCCACCCAGTTTATAAAACACAACTGTATGAAGATGCAGATAATATGTTGAGCAGGTTCACGCCTTGAATCGTCGCCTTGAAGCTTCAGCATTTCTTCTTTGGGGGAAGTGACAACCCGTCCAAACCATTGGAGATCACACCAAGTCTTCTTGGATAACTCCAGCCTGGGTTATTCTCTCCAATTTATTAGGACACACAGAGCATTACCATTAAACATTAAACAATGTTCAACTCAGTGAGTGTGTTCGTGTTACTGTGTTTACATGTTCACTGAGAAACAGAGACACTCATATCCGCGTGTACATGATCAAATGGAGTGTCCCGGTTTCTTGACATAATCTTACAAATGCGCAGGCGCAAAAATTAACTTAAATCAATTTCATAAACCAGGAAAAATACAAACCATGAGCTCCTTTAGCATAAGAAGCTAAGGAGCTACGAGATCTCCCACAATCCACTGTGCAGATTCTTCATTCAAATCTTCTGCATAAATAAACTCAACTTTACAACATATAAACCATAAACACTATAGACACATCAGCCCGTTTGATCAGATCATTCAGCTGTGATCACATTTGTTTATGTTTTACAGAAACGAAACTTAAGGCCGTAGGCTAATTAGCATAAACTGTTAGCGGCGATAAAAACAACTCGCTCCTTGTGCCGCTGATGCGATCAGTTTCTTTTGGACTAAATGACTCGACTCTGTGGATTATGTGTGTTATTTCTGTGACAGAAGAGGTGCTGATGATGGTGAGTCTGTTCCGTGCATATAGAGTATAGGAGATAGTTCATGTTTTAGCTTTTCAGCGTCACACGAGTGCAGGTCGTACGAGTGCAGGTTGTACATGTGCAGGTTTAGCGCAGCTCTTTATTTTACAGTCATTTCACTCGTTTGGTCACTTTATTTATGTTGGTCAATTTATTTATGTCACTACTGTTGTGTTGAGAGGCTGGAAAGTGTCTTTTGGACGCATGCGACTCAACTTTATGTTGCAGTAACCGGGATACTGCGTTTACATGACACAAGTATCACAGTTACTATCAGAATAAACCAGCTACAGTAACACAGTTTCTAATAACCTGGTCACTGCCATAACCGGGTTACTGAAACCGGGTTACTGCGTTTACATGCACCATCAAGAAACGGGGATACTCAAAAAACCCGATCATAACCGGGTTATTGATGTGCATGTAAACACACTCAATGTATAACTTCATTAAACAATATTCAAACCACCACTTGACACAGTCGTCATAAACACTGAAACACACAGGAGGCGACGTTAGACACAAGGCTGCAGTTTGATTAGAGAAAAGAAATAAAATGGTGCTTAATTTCAGAAAAAAAATCGCAGCTTGAGTTTCCCTTTTTCTTTCGCTTTCACATCTCGACTTTACCGTCTCAATACATTTTTCAGCAGATTCTCAAACCTGTCTCCTGTGTGTCTGTGTTCAGAGCTGCGATCGCCTTGAATGTTCAGATTTGATCAGTTCAGCAGCGTCACGATTAGTTTGTTTGTTCCTTGGTTTATTAATACAGAGCTGTAAAGTTTCTACTTGAGTGACCAAACATCCTGGACTTTTTTTTTTTTTTTTTAAGTGATGGAAATGTCCGGGTTTTCATTACCTTTCACTGGGCCATTAAATTGAGCGTCTCTCGTAGCGTCTGTGAGAAGGAGCGAGCAGACACAGTCCGTCAGTCTGGGACATACCCAAGGGCAAATGTGCATTTAACGATGACTTGGACAAGAAATTCTCCATTTTCCGTCGCGGTCGGGGCAAGTGGGACGGTCATGTGCACAGGTCGTGAGGTGAGAGTAGCTCAATGTCGAGGCCCCACCCCCGGTAATGTGTCCGGGTTTTCACAAATGGAAATATGGTCAGTTTAGTTTAGACTCTGAACTGAATAGGCCCGATTCAACTGATTCAACTTATAAAATGAACTGGATTTAGGCTCGTGTGAGAAATGCTGCTCAGAACAACATGTGACAAACAAAATGGAAGTCATGCTTCTGTCCGGATTAGGGATGGGCATGATTAATCGATTATTGATCATTAAGAATTTCATCGATTACGTTGATTTTAATGGACAAACCAAATGTAGGTGTGTGTGTAGTGTGAATAAACAGGTGTGTACATGTGTCTCTGCATCAGAAGGAGCGAGACACAAACATTCAGTCAGTCTGTAACGAACCGAAGCACAAATGTGGATTTAACGATGATTTGTACAAGAAAATCCACGCTTTTCGTTTCGTTCGGGACGAAAAGTGTGAGGCCATGTGCACAGTGGATAAAGCAGCACATATGTTTCTGTGTCCAGTGGGAAAAAGTTTTTCCAGGTGAGAGTCGCTCAATGTGGATGACGAGGCCCCGCCCCCCTCCCCCCGTACGCTGTCCTGGTTTTGACAAACACAAATCTGGTCACACTGACCTGTATTCACCTGAGTCATGTCTTTTAATCCGACAGAAACTGAACCACATCAGCGACACAAGAGCTGGAGTTTTATCTTCACTTAGTTTATGTAAATTAGTGATGTGGTTTTAAGTTTTGTTTCTGTGGGATTTGAACAAAACTGAATTAAACACATTATAATGTCAAACAGCTGATGTGGATCTAGAGTCGTTATGTTTATATGTCGTAAAGTTGAATTTATTTATGCAGATTAGTGCAGATAGTAATAATAATGATGATCATTTTAATATAAAAACGCTAATGATTAATTGATAATTGATTGTTAAAGGTTGTATGGAGGATTTTTTTTGTTTCAAATTGTCAGTGATAGATTATAGATGCAGTCGCCTTGTAATTATGATGACCAAAAAAAAAGAGAATAAAAATTAATCAACTCTGGACGTGGTGGAGCTAAACATTTGCCAATAGATAACGACACTGCCTCGTTATCTGTGAGCTGACAGGCTGTCAATCAAACTCCCTACGTTTCTAGAGTAACTGACTTGCCTGCGCTGCTGTTACGTGGTTTATGTACGACTGTCACACAGTCCACAGACGCAAGACGCACAGACGCTGTTTACTCCACCAACGCAACAGTTCTTAGTGGCTTTTTTGACCTATATCTTCCTCGCAGTTCGCACAAAGTTTGTTGTGATGGCGACAAGAATCCAGGAGCAGTTCGCCCCAAAAGAAAGTCAGTTTTTGAGGTGAAAGAAGAAGACAAGGGGAAAAGCAGCGAAGCCAAACTAAGGTGATTCTTGTAGATTCATTCCAGCGATGGTGCGACTAAAGCAGACGAAGGGTCTAAAGACTGAAGCACTGGTCCACAAATTACTCCTGGACAGGAAACTTCTGCTTATTATGAAAACGTACTTTATTTCCAAGAGCGAGACAAACGTTTTTCAGGACACGAAAGCGATATCCTATGTCTGAAAACTTAATTTTCAAGGCAAAGAAAGAGTCCGCTTGCTGCTGCGTGTTGTAGCTAGTTCATTCGCACTGAATCTCCGCGCAACCTTCTCTGCTCCCCTTTCCTGCTCCTGTCCCCGCTGCCCCATTCCACTCTTCCCCCTGCTCCTCACTTCTCCGTCTTGTCTAACCAACACTGTAGTTAGTTGTTTCCAAGTCATGTGCAGCGGCTGTAAACAAACCTGTTTGTGGCGTAAAGAGGAGGAGGGAGGAGGCGTTTCTACGTAGGAGCTGTGGGGGAGGGGAGGTGGTTTCACGCATGCGCAACATTTGAAAAAGGACAAACAGTCGCTGGATTTCTCGTTCCTTGGAAAATCCTCTATACAACCTTTAATTCTTCCGACGATCGATTAAGAAAATTTCATCAAATGTCCATCCCTAGTCCGGATGATGCACCAACTTGGAACCAGCTGCAGCCCGCCCAGACCTGTACTCCACTGTCCACTCTCACTGTGCCTGCGCAGAACCAGCGTGGAGAAGACGGCTCAGACCCAGAGTTCATGGTGATAACCTGAGATGAGGACGACCCGCGGTTTTAACGGGGAACATAGATTCACAATTGGAGGTACTGATGTTCCCCCGGGAAACAGAGGTACAGGGAATATTGGGCTGCTCCTCTCCAGGTCCGTATGGGAGGGATTCAGTGTATAGACCAGCCCCAGGTGATTTCACCATAAAGAAGTAGGTGGTTTTCAGATTCAAGAACAGGGACCAGGGTCTGACTCTGGACCCTGACGCCGAAACGAACCAGATAAACTTTTGTCCATTTCACAAATTGAACTTCTCCTGTTGCTTGACTCTAGGTTGATTTCTAAACCTGTGTGTGTGTGTGTGTGTGTGTGTGTTTTCAGGTGGAGCTGCGTAAAGAGTTCCAGGCTCAGGAGGCGGCGCTGCAGAGGTCACTGTCCAAACTGAGGAGTGAACTTCAGAAAGCTCAAGAAGAAGCACGAGAAAACAGAGACAAAACCAACCGTCTGCAGACGTCACTCGCCAACGCAGAGGGAACCATCAAGGTACTACTACTACTACTACTACTACTACTACTGCTACTACTGCTACTACTACTACTACTACTACTACTACTTACTACTACTACTACTACTACTACTACTACTACTACTACTACTTAAATGGGGCCAGAGGAAACAGAGACAAAACCAGCCGTGTGCAGCTTCACTCGCCGGCGCAGAGGCACCATCAAGGTGACGTGTCTTGTTCTTGTCTTCATCAGCTACAGACACATGACTCCATGTTCCCCCAGTGAACTGCACTTTTTGAACCATTAAAGGTTCAAAATTACACGTGATGGACTCTTGTGAACTTTAAGGCATTTGGAATAGTGTTTTGTTTCATTCACATGTTTGAGTAAAGCCGGGTGTACGTACACTGTGGGATTTTTGACCCTTTTTGGGGATCGGGTTTTGGCTTCATCGTGTGTCGTGCTTCGTGTCGTAAACATGGGGTAAAGAAAATAATGAATACCTCACAACCAGCTCCCGATCGGCATTCGTAGGTCGCAAGAAAATCAAACTTGTTTAAAAACCAGTCGCGTGAGGGTTTTGCTCTGTTGAAGAATTTCCACGAGACGATTTGCCAGAATCTGTCAGACTGATCATGTGACACAGAAGAGGAAGCAGGATATGAGGTTGTGGAGGACGACGGCGTTGGCGAGTGTTTTGGACGCAGGACATGGAGGCGCAGCTCAAACGAGCAACACAGAACACAACGTTTGGTTAAAAACTTGATGCTACTGACCTCCAGTTCCTTCTGAAGAACTGACAACCCGTACTGCCCACGTCCGCCCACGTCTGCCCATGTCTGCCCACGTCTGTCCACGTCCGCCCACGTCTGTCCACGTCTGTCCACATCTGCCCACGTCTCTGCCCACGTCTGCCCACGTCTGTCCACGTCCGCCCACGTCTGTCCACGTCT